TACCTTTTTATCCTACACTGAAAACAGCAAAAAGAACTTCAAGGAAACAAGATGCTGCTGCTTCTTCAGGAAAGAAAGAAAAATCCCCAAAACTCCTGACCCAAAGCCTTTCTTTGATGAGTATGTGATGCTGGAGAACCTGGAATATGGGAGAAATGTGGAAAGAGTCTATTAGCCTAGATGAAACTTTAGCTGTTATCCTAAGCACTCTAGATAGAATTTTAAATAAGGTGTTGCTTTACGTGCATTTTAATGGCTGTGATATACCAGTGATAGATTAATTTTTCAGAATAAAGAGATTTATCTAGGTCCTCACTTTCTGAGCTGCTGAATGATGGATGTGGAAGTGCTGATGCACTGCAGCATCAGCACCGAAGCCAAGGAAAGGGGTTAACTCCAAATCAGGTTGTACTAAGTGCCTGGGATTTGCAAGGTTAGATGGTGAGGATTAGTTTGATGGGTTCAAGCTCTACCATTGCTTTTGTGAATAGCCTCGGCCAACTCACTTGACTTGTTTTGCCCGGCAGCTCTTGCAGATGAACGCTGCTAGATCTTCTTGAAACTATTTTGGATTTCACTGCCCTGGCTGCCTTCACAGATGTGAAGCTGAGGATGAGGCTGTGGGACCACACCAGTCCTATCATTGATGGTACAAAGAAGGGGCAAAATTTGCTTCTTAGTAACGCTACTCAGCATTGAAACTCTTCCATGAGTTTGCCTTGCTCCTTTGGCCCAGAATGCAATGACTGAAGTGAAGCCTGAAAGCCCACAGGGAGCAAGTTTTCATCAGCCCTGCAAGCACCACCGTTTCTGCTCATAATGGGCATGGCACCCTTCAGCCTGAGGGATGACAAGAGCTAACTCAAACACTGCCCTGAAAGCACCTACAGAGGATGAGCAATATACTTGAGTGCTCACAGCCAAGACTAGACTTAATTCTGTTGCTGAAGCCTGGTTCTGGTTTGATGTGAATGCTCAGCACCCTGCAGGGGGAAGCTGAGGGTGGGAGAGGGGCAGGAAGGCCCTCTTCTTGCCCAGGGAATCTACTGAGCCCTCCACAGAGCCTTTTCCACCTGGAGGAACCGATGAATGAAATAACAGCATGGCCACATTTAGGTATGGTTAGCAAAAAAGTCATCAACTTTTCCTAATTAGAATTAGGAAGAGAAATCCAGGGCAGCAGGAACGGACCGCTTGCCCTTGAGTGAGGCCAGCGCTGAGGTTCACAGTGCTAATTTGACCAAAAGCACTGTGTGATCCTTAATGAGTAGAGAAGAGTAAGCCTTAACAGGACTTCTCCGTGAGAAGATCTGTACGGGCCTCAGCGACTTTGATAATAAAGTACACCAGCATCCAGATGCTCTGATGATGGCTGGACATTTCAGAAATGGTAGTGGATAGAGAAAGATTAGCTCCGATGATGGACAGACAGACACCTTTCATGAAAGCCACAGCAGTTCAATGGATTGGCTTAGTTTTAACACCCTCCTGCCACCCCCTACAATTATTTCTGGTTTCCTGACAGAAGGCTTCCTGAATGCTCTGATCAGTGCCTTTGGGACGATCACCAGGACCGGTGTGCTCGGCAGCCCTTGGAGAGCACATCCCTTTGATATTTTTTTAAGTCCAGGCTACACCGCTACACTGAGCTCCCCAAATCGATTTTCCATTTGCCCTCCCTTTCCCTTAATAACACTCTCCGTATACTGTGCACATTTAATTTACTCCAGCAATTTCCCGTCCCACTTTCACATTTTTGACCATAAAAACCTGGGAAAAAGATAACTTATACTGACAACTCTGTCAGGGCATCATTTCTCTTAATGCATCACATTAGAGTCTTATTGAAGCATGAACAATGTGAAGCCTGGGCTCACCGTTGTCAGCCGCCAAGAATGTGGCCTCGTAGACATTATTCTTAATGTAGTCTGACTCCCGATCAAGGACAGCAGCAGTAGTGATCTGACCATTTGTGGCATTAATGTTCAGCCAGTTTGCAGGATCTGACAGCTTAGAGTATCTACAGAGAAAGGAAATAAATACATGGCAGTCTTTTCACTGACGTAGCCTTAATATTGCTTGAAATCTGTTTTTTTTGGGACTCCTGACCCATGATTCAAAGGACCTGTGGATAACCGGTTTTGTTGACAAACAAAACACTAATTGAGTATCTGGTTTTTGACCTCTACAATTATTCAATTTTTCTGTTTCTTTCATTTTAAAGGTTTTTATTTCCACTAAGTGCCACTTACACGCCAGCTTCCTGCTGCTGGGAGTGGACACAGCCTGAGGTTTCCGCAGCCGAGGAGATACGGGGTCTTCAATGACAACTGCACTCGTGTGCCTGAATTAGAGGACGGATTTCTTCTCTCTCCTTCTCTTAGTGTTGCCCTTCCTACAATAGCTCTTGCCTTAGAGCCATGGATATGCCTGTTTTCTGCCCATCATTAATAAACAACAGTTTGGGAAATACCACATTGGAAGAAGGGCAGCTTTCAGGCCACTGTTTTGTATCAGAATCGTTACCTTCAGCAGCAATTGCCTTGAGGACACTGTAACGGGAACTCACAGCTGTATTACGGTGTGGACCCAAGGGTGAAGCAGTTACAGGTCTGCTCTCCCAAGGCATTTTTATATGTCCCTGAAATATCAGGTAAGGTGATACTATGCATGTAGGAGGTTCAAAGAGAGCAGCGACAAGGGAGTGCCTTGGCAGACCCCAGGGGGCCCTGGGCTGGAAGGACCTGATGGCAGACTTGCCTCCCAACTATCCAGTCAACTCATAGCCCAGGTCTGTTCATGTCCTGTGCAGCCATCTATGAACACGGTTTGTTTTGGGCAAACTTCTTCCATGTTCTCCAGATCAACATGTTTTGTTTACCTTTCTCACTTGCTAGTTTTCTTGGGTTTATTTTATTCATTGCTTTTGATTTCTACCTCTCAGCTTTGTTTTGTATGGTTTGAGTTTAGATGGACTCTTACTACCTTAACTGGAAGCTGATAAATGGCCAAACTATAAATTACTGAAATAAGCAAACAAAAGCTGAGTTTATTTCATGGGTAACTCAGACTTGCTGATAGTTTTAGATCAATTTTATGTATTTAGACACACAGGCAGGAGAACTTCCAGCTTCTGGTGAATATCCCTTTCCAGAAATGGGCTGTTTGAAGCTGAAACTCAAAGTCAAACTTCAGCTGCGCCAATCCATGTGAGTAGGAAAGCAACACACAGCTGCACAAGTCCCTGCCAAAGGAAAGAATTACATTTCATGGAGGTAGGCTCTTTGGGATGTTTTCGTTTCTTTTTACTATCACTGCTGTGAGTCTCCTGCCCTTTTTCTGCTAAATGACCAGGGATCCAGTTTCAAAGCTGGCTTTGTGAGTGTGTCTGTGGCTAATGAGGATAACTGGAGGTGTGACATTGGCCATGCCAAGCTGTGCCTTACTAGAGATGCTTCTGTTCCTTATCTTCTATTTGTAAAAACTCTATTTCATCAAAGACTATTTAGAGACTGAAAACTGCATGCAAGGCTCTAGCAGCTGGATCAGCTCTCTGTGAAGTGCTTACCACAGATCTGGAGGCTTGGCTTTTCGGGTCCCTTTTTTCCTAACTCACCAATACCAACTGTGAGAAAAACCCAAAATATCCTTTGTGTAGCTTACAGAGACAGGACCCCAACAAAGCCCCACTGCTTCTTGCAAAGCTCTGGCATTGGGTTGTCCTGATGAAAAGAGGGTAAGAGAGATTGTACGTGAGTTTGTAAACAAAGTGTTTGTGCACATACAAAACGTGTGTCCTGGGAGCCCTTGGCAAAAACGACTCAAGTAATTTGCTGTTCGTATTCCCAGAAAGTCTTACAAGACCCTGCACGTGCACTGTGCGACGACAGGAATGGCTGTCCTTCTCCCAGAAACGGCAGATGCTCGTTTCGATTACAGACCATCCAGCTCCAGGTTAGAGGGAGCGTTCAATCAGCAATGAGCTGTCCTCTCCTCTGAAAACCAGCCTGGGTATAGATGTCAGGGAAATAAAGACCCTTCAAAGGCCAGTATTTCAAAAAGAATGTAAGAAAAAGTGGCTTGTTAGCTAGGACGGTCTCATTCCTCAAAAGTCGCCGTACCTGTCTAAAGACAACAAGATCAGGCAGTGAATAAACGATCATTTTCTAGACCAGACAGCTCTGCGCCAGGTGAAATATTTCAAACTCTTCCTGACACAAAATGTCACAACTGAGGCAAGTTTAAGTGGCCTCAGCTGTGGTCACGTCGTACACTCAGGTTTTGCCAAAAATACTGTGCTCCTTAGAGACTGGGAGTGAAAAAGAAACTTCTGTGGATGTAGAGGTATCCAAGAGCAGGAAATGCATTTGCTGTCTGCACAGACAGAGGCTGAAACACCTGTGAAAGTTGTCACGAGGACTCTCATTTTCACAGATGCTTTTCTGGCAACGTATTTCCCGGTGGGAAGGTGCGTGAGTTGGGGTCCTGGACTGGGGATTTAGTCCCCAGTCACCCGAGCGGGACAAAACACAGTGAGTGACGTGCTCCCGCTCACAGCATGGACTAAATCCAACCTTAAACTGCTAAGACCAAGCATCTGACTTTTCGAAGGCTAAAATTATGTCAGCTGAACGCCCTTCATGGGGAAAGCAGCTAACGAGGAGGTGATGTTTGGCAGTTGTCTGAAGGGAAAGGGAAGGTCAGAACAAATCTCGCTCACTGCAGAGCGGGCAAGGGCTGCTGGTGTGCTTCATATGGACTGGCATTAGTCAAAGACCAATGGCCAAGGGTATGCGAATGGGTGTTTGACTGCTCGGGCAATATTCAACCATATGACATTTAAAAGCCTGTTCAGCAGCTGTTTGTAACGAAGCAAGCCTTGCTTTGGCTGGGCTGACCATCCTCTCGCACCGTGCTTTTTGGTTGAACCTAAATCCTCTGGTAGCAACACAAGACAAGATTAAAAATCCTAGGCGTTCCCTTTGGAAATCGAGCCCTAGCCCTTTCTGTGCCTCAGTTTCCCCCTTGTAAAACAGAAATAACAAAACTACCTTTTTCTAAACCTCTGTGTTTATCAAGTGCACAAACAACATGGGTCAAAGCATCCTTGACAAGGCAGAGACAAAACACTTTGTACCATGCAGCCCTGACCTCTGTAACAACACAGGGACCCCTTGCTAGCGACTGCTTGCATTTGAAGCTATGAATTGCCTCTCTACAAGCCAGTAACGTGGGATCCAACTCCATCTGCCCACCTAGACCCAGCTCCTCAGAATCTGGATTACCTGGAGGGGGCACGACTGTGAATTTACAAGCTTGCAGGATACTCTGCAAGCACTCCACTGAGGGTGCCAGTCCCTACCAAGCGTTTTACTCATATCACATCTGTTAGTTTGTGAATCTGCTTTCAGCTGCTTTGCTCCCCAAACTTCTGCAGCTGAAATCCCTCTCCTGGACACGAGCTCACTCGGCTGCCTGGTCTCCCACCTTACTGCCTGCTGCATGAAGCGATCAGGATCCACCGCTGAAAACGTTGTCAGGACGGTCCCCGTAGGCACCCCTTCCTCCAGCCTGATTAACTTGTGGTTCGTTGGGAAATATGGTGCTTCGTTGACATCTGTGACTGAAATGGTGACTCCTGCTGTCGACTGGAAGGACATCTGGATGCCACTGGCCAGGGGAGCTTGGTTTGATACCATCACTGTCAGCATGAAAGCTCTGTTCATCTCGTAATCAACTGCCTAAAACAAACAAACAAGCAAGTATAGAGCCAAGCAGAGAATAAATTCTACCTTCTGGCTGAAAGCTGCAAGATTTAGAAGGCAGATGATATCAAACTCATTGCCTCATCTCATTTCCTCCTGAGTTCAGTTCTTTTGAAGGTGTAAATTCAGACCAGCTTCAATCCAGGGGAGGATTTGGCGTTCCAGTATCTGGAGGGTCAAATAGTTAAAAAACAAAGTAGAAATTGCAAACGGCAGGGAGGATTTGCCCTGTGTTTTGTTCCAATGCTAAGTGGTTTCCAAAAAAGAAGCTGTCTGTGTTAGTTGAGTACATCAAATGAACAAATCCACCATGGGCTGCTCTAAACGCAACAGGTGGAGCCTGTTAAGAGGAACTGGACAGGTACTTAACTGTTAACAGCATTTAAAGCTGCTGACTAAGTAGCTAGGATGGTCTATGTGGACTCATGAGCCTGAAGTGCTCTTCATTTCCCCTCCTAAGTGAGTTTATAAGCAAAGGTGGAGGGGCAAGGAACAACGCCTGGTTCTGCTAATCAGGCAGTCCTTCCTCTCCACCTCTTGCAAGGTGCCTTGTCATCTCCTGAGGTTGCCTGCACATCCCCATGGGTGCATTATGCTCTTGGATGGCCACAGATTGCTTTTCAACACACACATAAAGACAATGTGTCTTAGGAGCCCGAAGGAGTGAAAAGCCTTTGCTGGCACAACTGACTGAACCGCAGTATAATAATTTCTAAACCATCCCACTAATTATTACGAGGGAAGTTGCTAATCATCTGTCAGGGAGGCTTGAGTTATGCAGGATCACACCTCTGCTTGTTAAAAAATGTTTTGCTGTAATTTATGAATTTAGAAGCATAACCATTCTCCCTAATACCTTCTCCAGTGCTGAGTCTGCAAAGCGTACTCTCCCAGTGTAAAATGCCACAGTTCCACTGACTTTGGTAAAGCTGTACTGATTTACATCAGCAAGATCTGGCTTCCATGTTCTGTTTAAAACCCAGTATTGTCAAGAGAGAAATCAAATCATAGGAGGCTACACAAGAGAAACAAATTTCAGGGGCAAAAGGTAAAACAGTGGAATCTCTATTCGATTGAAGTGCAAATGCTCCTATTGCTAAATGGTTTCCTGACAGGCAGGGCCAACATTTAATAAATAAAAGGAAGCATAAAGATTCCCAGTACACCCACCAGCACTGACTCACAGACTTGCACCGCATTCAGAAAAGACACACGGTAAAAGTTCCAATTTAAACTCTATTCAGGGCCTTGAAACAATTTGACTAATGCATTTCCTCAATTTCTTTCACACTTCTCTAATTTATATTCCTCCAGTCATCTTTTTTTTTTTTTTTCCCCCCTTTTGTGCTGGCCTGTTTGCTAACCTTGCTCCCAGACAGTCTGCACCTCCCTCCCTGCAGGGGCTCAGATGGAGCTGGGGGGGCTGATTTGAGCAGCTCCAAGGGGGATCGATGTGGGAAACCACGGGGCTCCCAGCCCGATGATGCACGGACACACTGACCGCACACATACCTGCTAGGATGTGGCCCATGCAAGGGAGGGTTCCCTGCGCCCCCCCTCCCCCCCCCAAAAAAAAATGTAGTGCTGCTCGCTCTGCTTTTTTCCCTCTCTCTGGGACCAACAAAACCAGGGCTGCAGAGAAGAAGTGCAGGGAGCGGGGCTGGACCGGGATCACCCAGTAATGCCCATCCCACAGACTGTCCTGGAGGCATCAATGCCACGTGCTGGCACATGGTGGCACAGTGTCCACCACGCTTCAGTCTGCAAGACAGAGATGATCTGTCCCCTCTGCTGTGCCTGAGTCTCATCTCACATATTTTATTAAAAAAAAAAAAAAAAAAGTTAAAAGCCTGTGTCTTCACAGCAGTGTTTGTGCTATTGTCCCCAGTGGGACAGGAGCCCCTTGCAGTCCAGCCCTAAGCAGAACTTTTGCACTATAATAAGCAATTTCTACCAAGACAGTTCATCCTTCTGCTCCCTAAAACTGCCTCCATCTGAGGACAATGGTGCACAGAGCACACCATGTTTGTCACACTGCTCTAATCCCCTCCATCTCCACGCATCTCACTGCAAATGCTGCATATTGGTCAGTTCGACAGCAGCATCCTGCAAAAGCCCACAGAGCCGCTACATTTGGGACAAGGAGGTGCTGGACTGTCACCTACTTTTTAATTTCATGTGCAAGAAGTATGTGACATGAAATGAAAAAGCAGCACCTTGGCAGATACCCCTTATTGGATGTTCGGTGTCTGATCTGGCAGAAATGGCTCTGAAACATCCCCCTGGAGATGCTGCACATCCTCCTCCTTCACTGGCCTCTCCGACTTGGATGCAGCAGAGTGAAGCTGAGGGCTTGCCACATGTCCTCCTCTTCTCAAGGTACTTTCAATTGAAGCGAACAAATTTGTCTTATGTTACTGTTGAGGCAAACAGTAACAGAAGCTTCAGAAGCATCTCCATTATAAATTCAGAGCTCTGATCCATGCAGAGTTTATAATAACATTTTACTTAGTTGGCTGCCACAGGGCAGCCACTGCTGCTTTTGGAGATTGTCTCCAGACTCTGCGGTGTCTCATCTGAGTGGGAAGTTTCTCTCTCCCCTTGATCAAGGCTTTCTTTGAAGATTAGGGTCTTGCATGGTTATGGGAAGGGTTTGGAAAGACGTGAACAGAAAAAGGCAATGTTACACTTTTGGTGATTGGACTGGAGCTGCAGATGGGGTTTTGCTGACAGCAGCTGCAAAATGGCCCCCATGAGTATCATCTGAACTGCAAAGGGTTTCTTGGTTTGGAAGCATTTCTAGCCCCTAAACTGCAGGTGAAGGGATGGGATTCTTCACGGAAGGCCCTTCTCTGCGCCATCCCTGTGACTGCTGTAGCCTGGATGCAAACGTTAAGGAGTTACATATAAGCAGCTTCATGAAAATCCAGCCGTGTAGGGTCTGTAAATGAAAGGTTTGTTACTTGACTTAATTTTTCACCTGTGTTTTCAATCTACATCAGGGATCAAAACAGCAAGAGACTGCTCCCATGCCACAAAGAACAAGCTCTGACCGGCCACCCAGTTTGACGTGCATGCATTCCCCAAACCTTTAAGCATATTCACTTATTAACAGAGAACAAAATATTTCAAAGAAGAAGGTGGATTCCTAAGAGTCTTCCTTTCTTCACCATGAAAATTTAATCACAAGCAATTTCACTCATTCTCCTTGCTGAAAATACACCAAAAAGCCTCCCGGCTTGATAAGGGTAAGAAACTCTGGGCACCCAGGAGGATCAGGTGAGGTTATACAGTGAAGACATTCAATGCAATTTCAGGCTTCGAGCTCAGCTTTTCAAGATAGGATTTTCATGTGGTTCTTGGCATTGTGATCACTGTGGGTTACACAGCAGTGGAAAGGCAACACCAGCATCAATGGCGTCTTGACAAATCTTCCCTGCGTTTTGCCTGCAAGTTCTGAATAAGGGAAGGTTCATTATGCAGAAGCCCTTGTGTAGCAGCGATGATCATGTAAACCCCCTGTTGTTCACTTTGATACACCTTTAAACCACAGTCGTGACACTCTACTGGATTAGGAAGAAGGGGTCCTCCCCTGCTCTCAGTGCAAACGTTGGCTTTTTGATTTCAGACTGGCTGCTGATGTCAATGGAAGTAATAGCGTTGCATTTTACTTTGCTAAATGTTTTCTGTTTAAGCAGAAAATATGTACATATGGATATGTGTATACTTGGATACATATAGGCATCCATCCATCCATGTCTACAACTACTGCTAAGCTTGAAGAGGTTTTGTAACGTTGCACCAGATAAGGCTGTCAACCGTCATTACAGAGCAATAACTAAAAGGACCCTTCTGAAATACCATCTAGCAGGTAAGATGATGTCTCCCTTAGAGTTTCAGCAAAGTGGCATCTACAGACACACGCACACATAGCCTAAGGGTCAGAGAACAGGACAAGCTCACAAGCTCACACGTTCCTACCAGCGTAACCTCATTGGCATTTCACTGATGTCATTTTTCCTAAAACCCGAACTGTATGTATTAAGAATGACTGCAACTTATTAGCTACAAGGGAGTGGGACTCTTTTTTTTCAACACAGAGCTATTCTTAAATCATGTTGCTCTTTAAATCCTAGTGTTTCATCCTAAGTTGTTGATTAAAACTTTTCGTTAGAGAAGGCCAGACGTGTCCAAAGATGCAGGCTTTGTCCATCACAAATTACCCTTTTCAGGTGCAGTGTCCAGTGTGTGTTGTGCAAGCTCCTACAGATCACAGCAGCCTGCTCGTGATGCCTTCACTTTTTTGGTAGTTGGAAGGAGCATCCATGGGGATCTTATCTGGGAAAAGATTCCGTGAACACTGAATGGATCCGGTTGTGTTCTGACTGTGTGTCATGACTGCAGAAGCATCTGCTGCCTGGGCGAATGAGAAGCGAATGCTCAAAGGAAGATCAAGTCATGTTCTTTGGAGGCAAGGAGGGAAAACCGAATTTGATACTTGCTGCAGATATCTTGAGTGTTCCGGCTCTCCCAGTGCTGAAGGCAACGGATGGAGGAAAGAAGGGACCTTTTTTTGTTTTTTTTTTTTATATTTACAGTCTTATTTCTCAGAGTCTTTGGACAAGATCTGCTGCTGGTCTAACCCAGGGAGTGGCTTTCACTCGAGTGGAGCTATTCTGAGCTGTGGATCTGGCTCACACTGTGTGTTTACTGCTTGATACTAGGAAAAGGAAAATTCTTCCAACTTTTTTCTGCCAAGCAAGTCAATCAGAGGAAAATCTCTGCTTTCCTTCTGTTACCGGGAAATTCACTTCTCCTGAAATCTCTCCTGGACTCCCTGCTTTCACAGAGGATCACTTGACTGATCCCCTGCAGTGAAATGCTACTGCTGATTCACAGCTAACAGGCAGTTTTCTGGCTCAGAAGGGAGAAGGTGCAGCCTCTGCCCCAGCCTGCCGGGCAGGGCAGGGCTGCGCAGCCCAGGCACCGGTCCCTCTTACAGCGCTCAAAAAGCTGAGGAGGAGCAGGACGCGGAGGTCAGGCTGGGATGCTGGGAGGTGCCTTCGGTATCCGAGAGTTTATCAGAGCTTATGGTGGGCTGAGTTGGGAAACCCAGAACCAGCAGCATACACTTGAAGTAAAAGTAGTCAGGACGCCTGCACAGAAAGGGATGGGAAACAACAGATTCAAGCACTCGTATTCCCAGGTGGAGAAGGCATGAAATAACTGCAGACTTCTGTCTTCTGGCAATCCCTTAGAGAGCTGAAAGGGTGATAAGGATGGATTTACTTTGGCTCTCCCCTTACCTTTACGACGGTTACCATGCCTTCGTTGGTGACGGGGTCTGTCCGGATGGTGAAATGGCCAGAGGGGTCTCCACTGATAATGCGGTAGATGGCATTCCAGTTGGGGGAGTGAGGCTGGTCCCGGTCCATCACCGTCAGATTTGCCACTACAACCTCCACTCTGTTCTCAGGAACTTCTCCTGAATACTGCAAATAAAAGACAGGAGTGGTCATGGTGGGAGCTTTCTGTCAGTCCTCACGACCACCTCCCCTCTCCCCTACATCAGCAGACTGACTGGGACACCAGTCCCATAAAGAGGAACACGGGGTTGTACGTTATGAGCAACACTCACCTTCCTCAATTCAGGTTTTCCTATTTCTTTCTTTGAATGCTTTTCCAAATATTTCAAAGTCTACTCTCACCTCTCAGCCCAATGGAGAACAAACCCACTACCACCCAGACACTGTCCAAGCTTCAGCAAAAGCTCTAAGTAAGCGAACAAAAAACGTTCCTGATACTCTCATTCAGTTACAGCAATCAGAGAGTTAATTGTCAACAGCAGGAAAAAATAGCAGACTAAAATGTGCTTTTTTTAGGATGACTATATCCCTTTAACCTGAGGTATTTTGTCTCAGTAAGATTTTCAGTGATGGCATTTTATTGCTTCTTCAGTGATTTTATTTCTTTCTTTCTTGTCCTTGATTTGATTTTGCCTCATTATTTAAAGTGTTTCTCGTGATTTTGCCATAGCCTTTCCTGGTGCTTAATTCTCTCATTTAGCACTGATTTTCATGGAGTATGTCCAGTTCAGGCATATCCTGATGCATTAGCTGCATTCTTTTCTGCTTTCCAGTCCCTGATTTATCACACGGCTGATCAGGGATCCTGGCCTGTGAATACTTCCAGTATTTGGGTCTCAGAAGCTGCCAGTAAGACACATTCCCAAATTTTCAACTGTCCTCATCTCTCAGCATCGCCTATTAGCAGCTCTTGCAAATCAACACTCTGATGGACATATGGCAAATTAAACACTGGGGAAACGATGGGAGCGGCTGGCTCTGAGTCTGCAACTGAAATCCCGGCCGCAAACTGCAGGAGCAGAGCACTTCTGAAAATCTGGCCTTTGGTGTGCACAAATGCCAGGTTATGTAAATGATAATAAATCATTCCTTTGTTAGCACAAGAGTCCCTTTCCACTCCTAACCCATGCCCATCCACTGGAGTCTTTCGGTTACGTGTGCTTATATTTAGTATATATTATTCTGCCACTGACAGCAAAAATATTCAATCATCTGCCTTATGTTAATGTAAATTGAAATTTGCCCTTTAGTGGTATCCGGAATGGCATTTTGCCCTCTTTTCTGTTATGCACCAGTCCTAAACAAGTTTTCATTAGTGAATGCAGATGGCATCTCTTTCCAGCCATGCTGAGTGGTGGGGAAGAACAGTGGGAAGCTGCGGGATAATTCTAGTTCCAGTATATGCTACAGCTCTTCTTTTCTCTTTATTTCTCATGATTTTACTCGTTTTTTTACCCATTCTCTTGCCAGATTTGGAATCTCTGCAGCATACAGCTTAAGCAAGGGAAATATCATATGGAAATTTATCAAAAGCTTCTTGAAAAATCCATTAGATTATGTCATATGTACACTCCTATTATCAACCTTGTCTGAAACCTGCTCAAAAGAACTCAAGGAGATTAGTTAAGCAGGCTCGTCTCTTACTAAATCCACACTAGTTATCGCCCATTACATTAAATTAATGTTGTATGGCATGTCAGCACTGACAAGCTGATGAGCCCCCAGTCTCTTTTAGGCGATGGCTGCACTGCTAACACCAAGGTATTGTATTGTCATGTCAAAGGAGTTAAGCACTCGGTGTCTCAAATCTTTGATCTAAGACCACAGTTTTTTTGTCTGTTGCTACCAGACTTATGCCCTGCAGAAGCAAACAGAATTAACTCATCAAGAGCAAGCCACTCGTTGTATTTAAAACATCTAAGAGGGCCAGTCCTACAGGCTGCTGAACATCTTTAGCAGATCATAACCCAGGTGCTGCCAATGAATTTGGGGTACACAGAAAAATCCCTCACAATTGCCAACAGATTTTACAGCAGCTTCTGTACAAGCCACCACAACATCTGTTTTCGGCCCACAGCAATAAAGTTTACTACAAGACATATTTTAAAAATATGAGGTATATTTAAAATTATAAATATACAAGCACATTTCAATATAAAGCCTGGAGGAAGATCGCAACAGTCTATAAAGCTATTCCGTTAGGGTAAAAACCACAATGCTCAGCACACACCGAGCAATCCAGGAGTTCATTCAGTCGTTGATACTTATTAGGTATAATATATATAAGTTGTTGATACTTATTAGGGAATGAGCAGTCCTATGTAGCACTGAGGGTGGATATGTCTACTAGGCTTATAAAGTTTAATATTTTCCTGATGAGAGCAGAGTACCTTCACTGGAATCAAAGGAGCCATCCAAACTATCCAGGTTGAGAAGCAAATCTTGGCAAGACGCACCAGGAAGAAGAGAACAACTTTCACCAGCGACAAAGCAGCAGCTACTGGGAATCCAAAACGTCGCCTGCCTTTCCCTCTACTAACACTCCCCCACTATCATTATTATGAGGAAATTCTGTAACGTGCATTGTCCACAATCATCTTTACCTTTAATAAAATTAAGTAATGACATTAAACTGCATCTGCTAAAGGAAGGATGGCAGCTCAAAGCTACCCACACTTGAATGTCATTCCCTCCCTATCCTGGAGTAATTTAGGATAATGAACAATACCATCTTTCACTGTGCCGCTTTGTAGCATTCCCCACGCTGTAAGTTTTCTTTCATACGATTACAATTGATTTTCAAATAAAGAGAAGCATATCTATTCAAACAAGGTAAAACAATGAGCAACAGAGGAGCTGCTGGAGTAAACAGAAGATTGATAAAGCAGTGCTTGACCTATACTTGTAGCATTTACTCATATTCCCCTGTAATTCATTTAGCTTCACTTTCAATTGTTGCATTTGAAGTCTTTAATTTCCAGAGTGCTTTTTAAAAGACCATTCACAAGGATTTCTGTGGCTGATTGTTACACGCTCCACTTCCCTTCTCCGATAAGGATTTGTTCTGAACTTGGCATGTTCTTAAATCCTTAAATTCTGTAGGGTTTTCTTTCTTCCCCTCCCATAAAAGCCTGTGTTGGCAAAAGTCCTTCTCTCATTTCCCTGAAACTGGCCTGTCTGAAGTCATGTCTTGCTGAAAAGGTAATAATTCATTCTGATTTTCAGGTTGCATCAGATTATACTAAAATCAGTTAATCCCAGAGTTTGTCTTTCATCTCACTCAGTACCTGACAGCACATAAACACACAGACAAATATCACTCCGGAGGAGAAAAGGATTGATGTGAGGGGACAAATGATGAATTCACACAACGACTTGACTTTGTGCAATAAATCTGGAGTTTGGGCAGTGAAGCCACGCACGGCAGAGTAAAACCAATTAGCTCACTGCAGCCACTCCTAGGGAGGTGTGGAATTGAGATGGATGAATACAAAGATAATTATTCAGGCTTCCTTCTAAAGAGAGTTCTTTTTTTCCAATGTTCTTCCTTTCTTTTCTAGCCAGTTTTGCTAAAAAGCTGTGAAAGCAACGACTTGTTCACCTGAATGTCTGCAGGAAAGATTTTTGTGTTGTCTCCAAGATTTGCTAATGATGATGCAACATTTGTTTCGGGCAGAAGTAGTTTACGAAGGCTGAACCAAGAGAGTATTTTACAACCTATAGTTATGGATTCATGTAGAAGAACAAGGGCATCTCAGTCCTCTCATTAGACTCTGAGCCCTTCTCCTGACAGCTATGACTGCTGTGAAGTGCTGCATCTTCTCTCTAGGTCCTCTAAGTCAAGAGAAGCTGAAATGAGAGTGACTGGGTGCGTGTGTGCGCGAAGGGTGTGGGGTGTCCCATCTCTCACCACGTTCTGCTGCCAGGCCACCCCGTTAGGCAGCAAGCTCTCGATATGGAGCGACATGTAGCCGGGATACCCAGCACACAGAGGGGAGGCTTTGCCCATGCAAACTGGGTAAGCAGGCACCCAGCTCCAGTATCAGCTCCTCCATGCCTAAGGGCACGCTCCCAGCCAAGTGGTGGCATGCAAGCCAACTGTTTACCTTCTCCGCACGATATTTAACAAAGACGCTTGAATAGCAGGCAAATTAATAAACAACTGCGGTCTGGTTGCAGCAATCTGTGTAAAATGGAAAAGAAAAAAAAAAAAGATGAAAATCTCCTAATAAATCATTAATTGTGATGTGCCTGCCCAGCTGCAGTGCGGAAACAAGCAAATGTCATCCTAATTGATTGCTTCTTATTCCATCTTTATAGGCCTGCATTTTTTATTGTGGGGGTTGAATAAGCCCAGAGGTGTAAAAAACCTCTAGATTGTACTCTGTGTATCTGCAGACTTGATATTTAGATCAATAATAATCTTTTTTTTTTCCCCTTACTCCTACTACTGGTAATTTAGGTTTTCTTCCTAGCAGCCTAATTGCTGTTTTCTTAAGCCTTACTATCAATTCTCTGACCTTTAATTTCCAGTATCGTTCGCTGTACGGATGACTGTACCAGGTCTGCAAGTCATCCTACCCCCTCTACGCCGTACGGGTCAGACTGGGTTATGAGCTTCTGTGGCAGCAAACAGTGACCTCCAGGTTCTCACTCCACCGTCGCTGTCGTGCAGCACAGATCACAAGCTCACTTGAATCCCCAAAAAATCTCCAAAAACTCAACCCTATTTTGCGTGCAAATCAGATTTTGAGATGCTCATTTCTTAATTACGTTTTATTAAAGACCTACTCACTTTGATGTGCTCTTGAATGACAATCACCCTCCAAGTACCGATGTCCTCAGTTTTTTCTGAGGCGTGCCACGGCATCTGTGCTCTGCATTGCATCAGCCAGCAACTCTACGTAAGCCTCTGCTGTTGGTTTTTCAGGCTCATGCCCACAACATCCTCCGCACTGCAGCGGAGTGTCCCTGCTTCAACGTCACATTCACTTGGATCTACTCCACAGTCCATCCACGTATGCATACCATACTTCAGACTAGTTACATGCCATGTGGCAAATGCTTCCCAAAACGTTATCTATAAAGCCCAACATGCTCTTGCCAGCTCACAGTTTTGCTCCGCT